ACTTAAATGAGTATTCTTTCACTTTTCCTCTCCTTCCCAATTGTTTAGAGAGAAAGCACACTTAGCCAAGGCAGCACAAAACCATGCTTCGTTAATATTTCTAAGTGCAAATAATTGGTGCTTATTAAAATAGCAACTCTTAGTCTCCTATGAATCATCAGTAAATGAAGTACCAAGAGCTCTCTTCTCTGTCTGATTTCTACCCTACTATCGAAAGGCTTTTTCCTACATCATCTCCCCATCTTACAGTTCAGGACACACTACAACTGAAAACACCCACAACCCTTGTAATAGTATTAAAGACTGTTAAAACACAAAAAGTCATTACCCTAATTTATCTGAAACTATAGCACAGGGAACGATGAAATTTATCATCCTTCTGCTTTGACTCTCCCTACTTTTACTCTGCTCCCCCCGCCCCAACATGATCTAAATACATGTAGGATCAGACTCAGGAAGCAACACTTTTGCAATAAATGTGGTATGAATGTGTTAATGCCTCATCTCATCACAGATGCTTCCTTGTACCATTCAATCTTACAGTTTCCAAGAAAGTGCTCAAGATTGCACCTCATAAGCGTATAAATACATCTGTGCTACTTAATTGAAGCTTAAAATGGTTGTTGCCGATTATGACTAGAAAAAGGTTTTCATTTTCCTGACAACTAAAATTAAAAGCTCACTTTGGTATGCAAAAGACACGTGTCAAATAAAGCAGTAACAGTAACACTATAAGCCACCAGCAGGGAGAGAACTGTTCACAACTATCTTCCCTTTCTCAGGGTTTGAAGCCCTCTTTAGACCAGGGCACCGTGACACCACTCTGACAGCTAGAGCACCAAAATGAGGTGGGTTGATGACAAGGATCAGTCTGTACCCCTGATTTGCAAATGATGAGACAGAAAATAGCAATAATCAGTCTCTAAGTCAACAAAAGGAAAAAATGGCAAAAGGTGTTGATATACAGAAATCATTCTTTGTCATGACCAGAGTCACACAAACCACTCTGTAAAGAGTCTATGCTTCAGGGCCTCCCTGGTGGTGCAGCGGTTGAGCGCTGGCTTGCGAAGCTGCCCGCAGCCTCTGTAGCACCGGTTCGATCCCCGGGCTGCTCCCCAGCCACCAGAGGAGGGTCCCACATGGCGCACAGACCTCTCGTGCCGCCCACTGCTCCCCTCAGCAGTGTACTCCGGTCCTTCTGCCTGCTCTGCCCCCCGCTCTGGCTCTGGTGAATTCTCTCACCCTCCCGCGCTTCTGACTGTACCCAGTGCTTGTATAAATAAATAAATAAATCTTTAAAAAAAAAAAAAGAGTCTATGCTTCAGGGTGTCCCAGGAAGAGGTAACAGAAGATGATGCAATGGGGCATAACTAGTCTTCTGCAGAAGTATTCACTCCCTCTGGTGCTCCCATTTTATTACATGCCAACCACTAAAATCACTTCAAGCTGAGGAGTCAGTAAATGGCCAAACTATGTAGAGGAGTTTATATTGAGATATATGGTTATTTAGAAAGGAGGAAAAATGTGCTAACTGATCACATTTTCTGACCAATGATTTTCAATCATTTTGATGATGTGTTGTGTAAATAACATACAAATTAATGAACAAATACATTTCCAGTCTCTACCTTAAGAAGTTAAGGTTAAAAAGGTAAGAGAATTATGTATTCCCCAATCCCAATCCACCATATTCTAACCATATTCCCCAAAGATGACAAATAAAGACCGTAAGTGAAAACTACAGAATTAGAAAACTGTCCTCTAGCATCCACAGAAAAGGATTCTCTTAACCTGGCTGAAACTATTTCGCCATACCAAATCCTCCCTGAAAAATAAGGGGGGGGGGGTCTTCCTTTCTTGTATATTTTACTGTTCAATGAGTTGATCAGTTCTTGCATTCTTACAAATGATTGCATAGGAGAAAATGGAATTTAAAAAAAAAAGATGAAATTAAGCAAGTCAAGATTAGTCAAGATTAGTGTTTATGGTTAAAAGCAAAGATTTCACCATAAAATACATAGAAGAAAATAGACAAAAACTCCATGAAGATACCACTTCACACCTTTGAGAATGGCCCATATCAAAAATACCAGAAACAACAAATGCTGGTAAGAATATGGAGGAAAAGGAACCCTTACATACTCTTGGTTGAAACATAGGCTGGTCCAGTCCCTATGGAAAACAAGATGGAGATTTCTCAAAATATTAAACAGAGATCTGCCATATGATCCAGCAATTTCACTCCTGAAGAATGCAAAAATAGTAATCTGAAGGGTTAGCTGCACACTTACGTTCATTGCAGGACTATTTACAATAGCCAAGTTATGGAAACAGCCTAACTGCTCAAAAACAGATGAATGAGTTAGGAAGATGTGATATATACACACAATGGAATACTACTCAGCTATTAAAAAAAAAAACCTCTTGCCAATCACATCATGTAACTGGGGTTATCCCCAGCAAAATAAGTCAGAAGGAGAAAGACAAATACCAGATGATGAAACACATGTGGAATAAAAAGAAACAAAACAGAGGAAGAGACAAAAACAAACCAGAACAAACCCTTGAAATCTGACTGTGAATTGAGGCTGGTGGGGAGGGGGCAATAGGCTGAGCATAGGGGTAAAGGGGCCCAATGAATAATGGTGGCGGACTACTGCTGCGTTGGTGGTAGGGATGGTGTGATGACATACACCTGAAGAGGTGTGATCCTATACCCCCAACACAGGGCTGTAAACCAACATTAATTCAATATAAATAAATGTCTTTAAATTTTTCATTGACTGTGACCAGAAATTATCTTTGTCTTTAGAAAGTCTGTATCTCAAAAAATTTAGAGTAATTATTCAAAGGAGAACAGCTAATCTGTGACACATACAAACCTGCTGTGAAGCTGTGGAAGAATCTAGTTACCAAGGGGCAGGAGTTTATTTTAATCTTCAGAAATTTAAATTTTGCTAAACTGTGCTTATTACATTTTATTATGTTTTTTAACATATTTTATATAATTCTTATATCATTTTTCATCTTTGTACAATGTATACATTTTCCTTTTGGTTATATTCCCCATACAATTGCACACACACCCCCATTTTGACGCTAGTTCTTCCTCTCCCTGCCCCTCCCTAACACCCTCCCTCCCGTTGTGTCTCTGGTTTATAGTTGCTTGTTGATTTTGATTATTAATTTGCATTGATTAGTCTTTTTATGTACTTACTTACAGGGGGAAAACCAGACCTAATATTTTCTAGAACAATTTCACATTGATGGAAATCCAAACCCTATCAAAACAGTCACCTTCTAAATTACAAGCACTCAACTTAAAACACTCTTTCCCAAATATTATCAGGTAGTACAGCTTACTGCTCTTTTCAATCACTACTTTAATCTGCATTTCATGGCTACTTCTGAAGGGCAACTAACTAAGCTGTGCTGGGTCAACAGCATCATCTCATGGTTACCACTTCAAATGTCCCAAACTAGAGGTTTGTTTTGGGAAGGATGTCTATTTGCAGTGACAGTTCAGATGCCTTCAGCATTTCTCAGGTTCATGATTTGAACACCCCTTACATTTCCTCTGAGTGAATATTCAGAAATAACGAAAGGAGACATGAGGGGCAAATAAAACATTTAGAAAATGGATATATAAAGAGCAACTTCTCTAAATATCAAAGCTTTATAAATATCAAATCTCCCCCCCACCACCTACCAAGATTCTAATACATCCTACTAAGTGGGGGATCATCTCATCCCACCCCTTGAAAGGCACAATGTCTCAAGAAAATAAATGTTTCTGAATGGGGAGAGTCCTTGAAAACTACCAACAGCTCCTGGGCACTACCCAACACCAAAGCCCTGTGTTCTCATCCCTCATCTTCTCCAAGAATCTACCCCCCACAAAATGCCTGTGTCTTTGTATAATATCCCGAGTTTACAGAAGTTACCTAGAGTGAAATGTTGGGAATGGTTAGCTAGAGTCCCAATTTATGTGCAAAGGCCAAATCTACCTCTGGGAGTCAGATATGTTTTTTAAAATATCTGGTAGACTCATAGGTTGAGGTCACTTGGAATCTGCAGAAGGGACTCAGATATCCCCTGGGCAAGTGCCTGTCCTAAAGGGACAGAAAAGCCAGCAGACCATTTTGCCCAGGCTCTATCTTTTGACTCCGAGGGCTCCGTGTATGGAGTTGCTAACTAAGACTTGCTTCTCCCGCCCTCCCCCAGCACTGAATTCCTTTCTGAGTCATAAGGGAAAAGGATGATTCCAAGAAAAAAAACCTGAAAAGTGCATTTTTCATTAAAACACTCCCAATGTCTAGACAAGACATGAGAGCAAAGAACATCCCCACTGCGGCATCTAGGATGTCAGATAGTAAGACAATTCACTTATGGTACCTTGAGGCCACATGATTCAGTATCACCGTACCCCTTAGCCATTTGGGTGCATTCAAAAACAGCCCCTCTGGCATACTTGTATTTTCAAGGTGGACACCTACCCCACTCCAAGAAAGGGGCAGAGACCTCAGGAGATGACCTTTCTCACTGCCCCCCAATTGCAGAGTCCACTATGAGTATTTGTGAGGCACCAATAGCCTCAACCAGGGCCTCCCAGAAACAACAACAACAATAATAATAACAAACAGAAATTACAGATTATGGGTTTTGGAAAGAAAGGGCAATCCCACCATTATCAGCTGAAGGTAAGAGCTAGAAAAATATGGATTCTATGAGGTTAATAACACTAACATAAGAATATTTAGAAAAGTTTCCCTGGAATGTATTTTTATAATGTTTTTTCAATCTCCAATAAATAGCATGAATGCAATTTCTACTCAGATCTCCTGGGGAGTGTCGAAGTCACATAAACACAAGGACTTGGTCTCAATTTGCCATAGCCTCCAAACCTCTCATAACAGAAAATGAAACATTTGCACCTTTACTTTTCTCCTTCCCCCTCTTTTATTCTCTAGCAAGCATATAAACATATAGTTTATATATACCGAGTACATTGGCAGTGCACTGGAGAATTCCTGAGATGTCTTCAATTTCCTCTTTGCTGGAATGGTCTGCATAGGCGCATCTGTTAGAGATATTGTGGAAATTCTTTTCTGCATCCCTATAACTAAGAAGAAAACAAAATTAGCATATGGGGAAATTTTCAACTTACCTACCAATGCAATCATATGCATATACACAAGCATACGTGTCTATGCCCACAGTGTAATCACATTTTCAAATAACCGAAGCTTCCAGGCATGATTTCTGGCATAACCCACTATTCACATCAGTATTAGCAGTGTGCACCTGAGACTGGAGGAATCATTAATAAGAAAGTTATGTGTGAAAAAATAAATGGGGAAAACTAGAAAATATATCAGCTTTGTATAGCTAATGCTTCATCCTTGCTAGTAATATGTTTCCCCAAGGAAGCTGCTCCCCCTACAAAAAAGGAAAAGAAAAATTAGCTACTAATCCGATGCACTGGCGCTCGGCTGAATGCTGGGACAGTCACGATGACAGTAGGATGGTGTGTGGATAATAAGCAAACATGCTGTTTGGAGTCAGACAGAATTTGAATCATGATCTTCCCATTTTCTATCTCTGGGACTTTGGACAAGGCACTCAACCTCTGTTAGTCTAACTTTCCTCCCTGGAGCTCCTGTGAGGACTGTGTACTAGGGTGCCGGGTAGAACTCTGGCAGGTGCCTCTGACTTTCAGTTAAGGGACCGAAGCTGAAGACAATGGAGGTCCAATGCTCCCATGTACCACAGGAATAGCCAAGATGACCTGCATCTCCTTCAGAACTTGAGAAATGATGAGTTGGCCATTGTCACCCACCACCAGCTTACAGGAGCAGAGAAACAGAAAAATAATTTCAAAAGAGTGAGCAACTGGCCTCAGAAGACAGTGCCGCTGTCTTCTGTACCCTCCTCTGTGAAAAGGGGAGTAGGTGTGTTCCCTGCAGAGGTACATTTGGTATAAAAGAAAGGTCCACTTCTGACAGACAGTGGGGGCTGGGTGTCTCCTTCCTCAGTGAGCTTCTGCTAAGGCCATAGATTCCCTACCAGGCTTATGTACCTGACTGAGTAAAGAAAGAAGGCTGTGGGAAAGTGATTAATAGGAAAAAGAACTACAGTCAAAGTGGGAGGGGCCCCAGTTTGGGACAACAGCCCCATCATTTGGCAAGGCAAAAAATATGATTTTCCCTGTGGGTTAGGGAGATGGCACTGAAGAGAGGCAAGCTGACTTGTCCCATCCTGCTGTTTTCCCAAACTGGAGGTTGTTGGCCAGAGCAAGAGCCCCAAAGGCAAGACCACAGAGTGCAGTGCTCAGGACCAAAGCCCAGCATCTGAGGCTGCCGAGCGGAGCCTGTACATGCACCCGAGGGCATCATGGACTACAGAGAGCTATTACAATCACCAATGAATTTAAAAAGACTTTTGACATTTTCTATTTCTTTCCTGCCTGATAGAACACATTAGAAGAGAAAGGGACTTTAAAGCAGTAGCTTGGAAAAAAATCAAAGATCATATCCACCTTCTCTGCATTGCCTGCAAGTCCCTCTGGCCAAGGCTGACTCAGGCAGAGAAGATGATAGAGTGAGACTGGATACAAGACTAAAGATCTGAACTGGTCTGCAGTAGACTTCATCCTCAACGAAGGAATTTGGAAAACAGTCATCTGCCCAGCAAGGATCAGAGGTGACTGGTCCTAGCATGTTTGAGGTGATTGGAGAGAAAAAATGAAATGGTTCTATGTTTGTATACTTCACTGAGGCCAGACTGCAATAAAGCAGTTAACAAAGTGCTATAGTCTGTAGGATGCAGGGATCACTCAAGAAAAGGTGGAATGGGGAGCACAGCCCTTCACACAGACAAATGCAGGGTTATTTTTAAAATGAAGCGCTATCATTTCCATCAGTGACCTTTGACAAACACTTTCTCTCACAGCTGCAATGCCCTCCTCTGTAAAAGGAGCTTAATGCAATGACCCTATGAAACAGGCATCAAGATTATATATAGGAACTGATATAAAGTACCCAGTGTATTGCCTCAAGCACAGGGAGCAAATAATAGGTGCTAACTTTTGTCTAAATTGTTTTTATTCAGTAAAATAGACAGTTGTTCTAAGTAAATATATGAAAAAGAAACTAGATCTCATTTTAGATAAAATAATTTATAGCCACAAAGTCTGACCAAGGAAGCATGAGTAATATCATTCAAGCTTGTTTCCCAGAAGAAACAGGGTTCACTGACTCCTAATTTCACTTCTAATGTTCTACTGAAATTATTCTAACTTAATCCCTATTCAATTGTCAAAATTAAAGGAGAACAGAAGGTTGGCTGTATAAAGTAAACATAGGGTCCACACTGATCATCGAAGTAATAACAATTTAATTTTTGATGATGTTAGCAAATGGTCTCCCAGACTCACATGAGGCTGGCAGTAGTCCTACCCAGGTTATTAGCACAATGATGCTTTATTCTGGAGAAAAATATAAATGAATGGCACAATTCTAAATATAAAACTCTTTATACTTTAGTGTTGAAAATACAGAATATGAATGAACATTACATTTCACAAGGATGGATTATTGTGTTTTCCAATCTTGGTTTGAAATAAATCAGTTTCATCTGCACTGCCATCATAATCCACTTTGTGAGCAGCAGCAGTCATGTCGCATAAACAGACACTCCAGAGGTAGAAATTTAGGTTGAAAATATCTGAACTCTATAGGAAGAAATCTATACCTGGAACAAGAACGGGGATCCTATGCTAAATAACTGATTCCAAATTTTTAAAATCTTAAGGAGGAAAACTGATTTTGTTGAAAGTGCATAAGAGTGAGGCATTAACAGTGAATAATTCAACTAACATTGATTACCTTTGTGTATAAACTGCTGTGCTAACTAGTTTATGTGACTGACAACTTAACACACATTATCCTTAATATTTCATTTAAAATTTATCCCAACCCTGTTATTATTTCCATTTCAAAAATAATAAAATTGAGCTACAGGGAGGTTAGGTCATCTGCCCAAGATCATAGAAAAGCAGACCCTGACTTTAAGTCTACTAATATATTATGTCTACTCCCAAAGTGTATTTTCTCAGTCAGTGCTCTGAACTACACAACAAAAACTCACAAAGAGAGGAAAGGGCATGAGATAATGACAACAATGACATCAGAAAATAGAAGTTAGCATAACCCAGTTTTTCCTCAATCCTGAGTTCCTTTTAATTCTTACGGTAACTCCTACTTACCTCTTTAATTCTTTTTTTTTAAGTTCATTTTTTTTTTTAATTTATACAAGCACTGGGTTGAGTCAGAAGCGCTGGAGGGTGAGAGAATTCACCAGAGCCAGAGCGGGGAGCAGAGCAGGCAGAAGGACCGAAGTACACTGCTGAGGGGAGCAGCGGGCAGCAGGAGAGGTCTGCGCGCCATGTGGGACCCTCCTCCAGTGGCCGGGGAGCAGCGGGGATCGAACCAGCACTGCAGAGGCTGTGGGCAGCTTTGCAACCCAGCGCTCAACCGCTGAGCCACCGGGGAGGCCCGTACCTCTTTAATTCTTACGGTAACCCCTACTTACCTTTCTCATTATTCTTTCTACCCTACACTGCCCCAAAAGCGCATCCATTTCCTGGAGTTTGAATTAAAGAAAGTCAAACAGAAAGTCAAACACTCTGTTTGACTTTTTTCATTTTAGATTGAGGGAAGAAGCTGTGCCATATGAATTAGGCGCTCTCCATGTCAGCATGTACGTGCAGTCTTTATAGAGGAATCAAAATTCACCACGAAGCTAATCTGACACACAGTGGCAGGAATTAAGAGCAAATGGAAACCTATGCCCAAAAAGTCAGTAGAATTTATGTCCTAAAGAAAATGGCCCTGGGTAGTAGAAGTCTAGATTTAAAAATGTAATGAAGTCTGGAGAATTTTTTACTCCTCATTTTATACTCTTCAAGCAAAATTTACTCTTTAATATATGATATATAACTCTGTGTTTAAATCTGCAGGGTGCTATTTATCAATTTACTCAGGATTCCTCTTACTCCCAAAAAAAACTCGTTCTTCCAACAAATAAGCCTTTACAAAGGCACAGGAATAGTGACATTAACAAAATAAAATAACCAAACAAGAAAAATTAAAAAAGGTAATAAAAGCTAATGATGAGCACTATGAAAAGAAATAATAGATCTGTGGTAGAACTGCAAACTTGTCCAACCACTATGGAAAGCTGTGTGGAGGTTCCTCAATACACTAAAAATGCATGTACCATATGACCCAGCAATTCCACTCCTAAGAATCTCCCCAGAAGACACAAGAACAACAAATCCAAAGGAAACCTGCACTCCTATATTTACTGCAGCACTATTTACAATAGCCAAGATATGGAAACAATCTAAATGCCCCAAAACAGATGACTGGATGGAGAATACTACTCAGCAATCAAAAAAGATAAACTCATGCCATTCACAGTAACATGGATGAAGCTAGAAGAGATCATGCTCAGTGAAAAAGTCAGAAAGAAAAACAAAAATATGGGATGGTTTCACTTACATGTGGAATATAGGGAAACCGAACAAAGAGTCAAAAAAAAAAAAAAAAGAGAGAGAGAGCGAGAGAGAAAGAGACAAAACTTGCAGGCAAACTTTAGATCCGAGGCATAAAGCAGGGGAGAGGAAGGGGAGGAGGGGGTCAAAATGGGAAGGAAGAGCACAAAGGACTATGGTGTTGGTTCACAGGTGATATGGTGTTAGGAGAATTATAAGGGACTAAAAATAAGGGGAGAAATCAAATATTGTACAAAAATGAACAACAATGTAAGAAAATAAAGTTCAATCAAAAAAGAAAGAAAAATAATAGAGAATGATAGAAAATGGCTGGAGTTAGCGATTAAGGGAAGGGGTAGATATGGCATTTAAACAGAGACCTAAATGTATAAAAATCACAATCCATACAAACATCTGGAGAGAGAGCATCCTTGGAAAATTAAAATGGAGCAGGGTGTTCCACTGAGGCTGAGCCAGTCTAGTACAGCAGAGAATCTAAGCCATGGCAGAACCGAGCGGCCGCATGGTGTGAAAAGGGGGGCATGGATGAAAATGAAATCAGAAGG